AAGTATCTTTTTTGTTACAGTTGCTATTGTTAAGAGTTTCACTAAGATTAATAAATTAGGACAATATAATGAGGAAAACTTAAAGCCCACCAAACATCATTGAAAAGATTTAAAATTACTTCAGTTCATGTTTTGCCTTTTCTTCTAAGAACATTTGCGGGAAATCCTTTTAAGGAATTATATTTTTAACAGTCCTATTTACACTACTAGGCATACAGTTTTGTAAATACAATATAAATGTAAACACACACACAAAGGGGGCAATGTATTAGCATGTTGGACACCTTTTAATTGAGGCTGCTTTGATTTCGCTTAAAGCTCACCACAAACAAAATGCATTCCTTCCCTTACATATCATGGCTAAATCAATTCTCCTGCTTGTCGAAAGGACCTGACTGTAAGTGATTTTTTTTTAAAGAGGAATGAAAGGAGCATGTGTGTACAAAACATTTAAAGATGCAAAAGCCATATACTTATATCATGTACAGTTGATTTCACTGGTGGAGAATTTCCTATTAATAAAATTCTAGAAAAAATATGTTTTTGTTTTGAGTCTTTTTGGGAGATGGTTAGAAAGGTGGGTGTTGCAAATTGGCTATATAAATAAATTAAGCACCTCTGTGATCTAGAATAAAATGCAATTTGGAGGATAAGGCAAAGGGTGTATTTATGAGAAAGGCACTGGTGAAATTTGCCCAGTGAAGAAAATCTGTCAATTCAACCAAGATTCAAAGGCATTTTGTCCAGCAATTTCTGGCTGTACTCCTTCCCTGTATTGTATGACATTCGCTGGGCGGATCCTTTTAGTTTTAATCTTGCCCGGTCGAATCTTTATAGTAGTAGCTATTTTTCACCTTTGGATAAATCTGTGTGGAAATCTTGTCGAATACCAGGAATGTCCTTTTGTTCATTTGCCAAAATTCATTTTGTGGTTTACACACTGCTGGTTTATACACTGGCCATAATTTATACACGCCTAATTCCAAATATAGGTAGTGAAGTAACGGGAAGTTCCCTTGATGTCCATGCCCATATTTGGATTTAGGACAAATATGGGCAATGATGTGAGGATGACTCCTCACCCTGAGTTCCCTGGACACTAAAAACGGTACCAGTGGTGGAAACTTCTGCAGTGCTTAAACACTATTTGAGCAGTGAAAAAAGGGGGACCCATGCCCTCCTACCTCTGACCTATCATTCCTAGAGCTGACAGCGTGAGACATCTGTGGATATCACTTGAACCTGCAAAGGTAAAATTAATATAACGTATTCTTTTGCATGGTGTGCTTATTCACATTTTTTCTCAGACCTATGCATCAGTGGACATATCAGTCTGAGGGACCCCTAAAACCAGTTTATCAGGGAGTCAGCAACCACCTATTTGTACCTGCATTTTTATTTTTCTGGAAAATAAAATGAACAAAGAAATTCACCATGGAAGTGCTAAACCTGTGTTTTTTAATCAACTTTTTATTATTAATTATTAAGTACATTCAATTACACAAAAACATTTACACAAAAACAAGTAAACAAAAATTTACTTATACCATCAAAAACCCACCCAAGCCCTGAAAAAATAAAAAGATTGAACCATTATCCCAACCTCATGTATATTACAGAGGGGATATTCCCTATAATAATATTTAGCAAGCCCCATTGAGTGAATTCTGTATATATATATATATCTCTATATATATATATAGAGATATATATATATATATATAAACAAATTTCATTTTAATTTTATTTTTTTCACTTAATTTTATTGCTATCACACAGGAGCTAACAATCCCCTGTGTGATAGCATTTGGAGGTGACAGGTCATCTTTTATGAGATTAGTAAGTGTTAGCACAGCACTATAGGTGTTTTAACCTCCCTGGCGGTATTCCCGAGTCTGGCTCGGGGTTAACTTCCAGTACCAGGAGCTGTAACCCCGAGCCAGACTCGGGAATGCAGAGAAAAGTGACACTTACCTTGTCCCTGCGAGCCCGCGGTGTCCTCTGATGTACGCAGCCGGCCGATGCCGGAATCTGAGTTTTACTTTCGTCTTCGGGGGCGTCACAGCGGGGGGCGGAGCCGGCGGGAAATTCAAAAGTGAAAAATTACATTTACACAGAATACAATGCAATCTGCTATAATTACACTTATGTATCAAACTATTTCACTTCAATTTTGTCTCTAGAGCTTTGTCCAGTGCCCTGCCTGCACTTTCGCTGTTCTTTCTGCCTGGAAACTTGTTAACGTCCATGGCATCCAAAAAGCGTCCCTTTAGGTCAAAAGCGGTTTTAGACCAGGTAGAAAACAGCGATCGTAAATTAGAATCACTTGCAGAATTGAGTGATAGCGATTCGTTGGGAAATTCGTCATCAAACACTGAAAGTCACTTATCACACTCCAGGAGTCACTTATCACACTCCAGGAGCCACTTTGTGATTGAGTTGCAGCTGTACATTAGTAGGGTGTTACCATACAGAGTTTATGTCACAAAGTATAGGTAATATGTATATAGTTTTATATGTCGTTTTAACTGAGGTGATGGTAGCTTGTTGGGAAATACAGTTGTTTACTATGCCATCAGAAAGTATGTATGTAGTAAGTGTGTCTCTGGACAGGGTACTGGATTGTTATTTCTACAGCAGAGACAGACTGGGGACAGACTGTGTTTGCCATTTCTGCCACCTCTTAACCTTTAGCAGTCAATGATGAATACGCACAGTAATATTTGAATCACTGGAGCATTCAGAGAAATGTTTGAGTATGGTCGCAGAGGAGGACAGAAGCTGTGTGGTTCATGTGTAGCAAGGAATAAAATAATCATGACACTGCAGCAATAATAGTATTATATTATAATGTTCTAAACTATCTACCAGCATCTATGAATTATGGGTATATATTTTTTTTTTGTTGCCACTAAACATCCAGGTTGGTTCTGCCAATGTTGTGATTTTGGTACTGTGTAGGTCAGTGTGCAAAGCATTAGCTTCAAAAGCAAGCCTGCTGTATAACATACAAATCAAATGCCTTCACATTATTTCAAAAGGCTTCATAAAATCAGATCAAAAGAAAAAATGTCTATGGAAATGAAACCGAAGTTCAAAACTGTTAGGAAGAAATACTGTAAAAGACAACATAAAGAGCAAATGGCTCCAAACAAAGCAAAAGGAAACAGCGAAAGATACAAACGTTATACAGCCTGAAGACATGAAGCTTTTTCAAGTGTTGGATTTCAATAAAGGCTACTAAAACATTTCAGATTATGCCTGTTGGTTGCATAGGTGTTTTTTGAGTAGTTGCCTCAGATTGGTAAGGTGTGCTCCTGACGGCTCCTCAGTCTAGGCCAGGGGTAGGCAACCTTGGCACTCCAGCTGTGCCAAAACTACAAATTCCAACATGTATCTGCCTCTGGGAGTTATGTCTGTGGCTGTCAGAGCCTTGCAATGCCTCATGGGACTTGTAGTTCCACAACAGCTGAAGTGTCAAGGTTGCCTACCCCTGGTCTAGGCTGATATGCCAATCTATCATCAAGTAGGCCATTTGAATCATTTAAAACTAAAGCCCTGCCTAAGGGAAGGTGCCACTAGGTGTATGCTATAACGTTTATATGCCACAATTTATTTATGTGCACCTCGCTGATTCAGTTTCATTTGGCTACTGGGGGCTTGACTTTAGGGGTGAGCCCCACCCAAATAACATGCACTCGAGGTGAGAATTACATTCTTAATGCACATGAAGCAGGCTGATGTTTGAGACTGGATAGTCAGGTTCTTTATAATAAAGTTTTACTAAAACAAGAAGGTACACAGGGGACGTTTTTTCTAGGTAATAAAGGTAACATAGGACATTGTGTGAAGCTTGCTTTTAGGTAGGCCTTTTACTTTTTTTTAAAATGTTAATATTTAGTATTGTCTGTGAAAGTTCTCATTCATCCAGGTCAAGGTATATCTGTAAAAAAAAAAAAAAAATCAAGGTATTTTTATTGAAGACATTTTGCTGGTCATCTGACTAGCTTTCTCAATTGTCATGCTGAATTGAGAAAGCTAGTCGGATGACCAGTGAAACGTCTTCTAGAAAAATACAGCAAGAGTCCAGTCGCCTTGATTTATTTTTTACAGATTTATTTACTATTGTTCATGACCTTTACTTTCTATAGTTTAGGATGGCTGAAAGCTTTGATTTAACTCATCCTGATATATTGTAACATGACCTTACTGTGGACTGTTTACTCATGCATAGCTGCATCTACACGCTTTTATAGATGCATTTAGCTGCATAAAATCCAATAGATATTTTGATGAATGAGGTGCACCAATATCGTTAAATATCTCGTAGCTTACACATTTTATATAGAAGGTTATTTTGGGCCTTTGTCGACAAGCTTTGGATTTGGGTTGATGGCTTAAGCTTGAGACGCTTCTGACATAATTCCGAATTTAAGTGTATTTGACTTGCAGTTGACCTCTTTCTGACCTGCTTTCAGTAAGTTTTGCGTTCCCAAATACTTGTAAGGGAATGCAAAACCCATGTAATGTGAACAAAAGCCCTATAGACTCAGGCCCTAGATTATGGGCAGGAGGGGTTTTTTGTTTGTTTTTCTCTATCTACAGAAAATAATGCTATGAAGAAGCCAGGCCATATGGGTGGGACTGCCTGTATAGCAGAATAGATGGCCCTGTATTACAGTTGAAGTGGATAAGTTTAGGTATTTGTGTCCCATGTTGCATTGCAGTGCTTGCACAGAATTTGATCTGTTTGTAAAATGTACAATCTAATCAAGTTACTTTAGGTAATGTTACTTTAGGTAGGTTAATACTTTCAGTGACAGGTACTGAACCTTGGAATGTAATAATTCTGCTCCATTTATTTTTTTTATCCTGTATCATGATACATAAAATATCATGTACTATGTATGACTGCATTTTTGGAGAGTAAGATTATCCTTAATATTGTAACCTTAATTTTCCACATCTAATTATTTTTTTGGCTTTTCTTTTTTTTAAAGCTTCTACAAGCACCAGTCCTGGACTGAGTATGGGAGCCATTGCGGGTATCCTTATTGTCGTCTTTGTTCTTCTCTTGGTGGTTGTTGATGTGACCTGCTACTTCCTGAACAAATGTGGTCTGTTCATGTGTATTGCTGTCAATTTCTGTGGAAAGGCTGGGCCAGGAGCCAAGGGCAAGGACATTGAAGAGGGAAAGGCAGCTTTTTCGTAAGTTACACTTTATTATAAAACAAAAAGTGAAGCAATAGTGAACCAATTGTTTAACAAAAATAGTTTCAGGTATTGATTGGTATATGATTTTTCACATGGGTGTAGTCTTTGTAGTCATTTTCATGTTTTCAATTTAAAGTGGGCATACTCAATACTCAAATGTTTATAATTATATATATTAAAAGTTATATGCTTACCTTGGTGGGACCAGGATCATAAAGCTTCCTAGCATGCCCACTTTATTTTCAGAGCACCTTTCCATTCTCAAAACCTGGGTACTCTATTATGAAATATCTACCATGACTTTCATGATCAACCTACCGCCCCTCACATGTTCCTGTTGGCCATTGAGGCCACCCATCATATGTAATGGCCAATAGGAAAGCAGACTGAATAATTTAAAGTTATTAATTTTATAAGTTTTTAGATATCAAAAGAAATTAGTATCCCTATAGACCTACAGATGTGGATAATTATAATTTAATATGATTTGTACACAGAAAAGATGAGTCTAAAGAGCCCATTGTTGAGGTACGAACAGAAGAGGACAGAACACCAAACCATGATGGTAGCAACCAGACAGAACCCAATGAGACCACTCCATTAACGGAGCCTGAGTAAGTGTGATCATTTAAATTGTATATTTTTTTATGTATGCTGAACAACATTACTGTGAATGGAAAAGGGAAAAAATATTGCAGTTTTATATATTTTCAGTTGTAAGAAACGATTTTCTGATATACAGAGGTCTTTCACCAAAAAGAAACAGCACTTTCATTTAAGCAAGGACAGGCTACTTCATGCTTGTCAAATCAACTAACCAACCAAAAAAGTATTTATTTTTTCTAAACTTTTGTAAACTTAGGAGCCTACAGCACATAGCTGTGAAAATGTGCAGTTTATCTTAATTTTATTTGGGCAAAACATATGATTCAGTGAGCAAATTGATTATTAGTATTTGTTTTGGAATATTTATTATTAACATTTATAGAAATGGTGGCAGCATGGCTAAATAACCTTTAAAGGAGAACTATGAGGTGAGTGCTTTTCACTCACCTCATAGTTCTAGCCGACCTGTGACAGTGAGACTGTCACAGGTCTGCTCAGTAGATCGGGAAGTGAGCAAACACATACCGGCGTTCGCTCACTTCTCGATCCTGTCACGACCCTCTGCTGTGACAGGGGAGTGGCTGGATTCCCCCCTCCCTGCTCCGATCCACCAGCACTGACTGGCGGAACGGACGGGGAGGGGGCAGGTACAGCTGGCTCTGCCTCTAGATAGGCAATGCCAGCTGTCACTAACGCAGCTGGGCGGATCCAGACATAATTGTCGGGATCCGCTTCAGCTGCGGCGTCTGTAGCTCACGGTATACTGCGGCATCTCAGTATACCGCGAGCTGTAGCTCGTGGTATACTGAGCTTAGGGTGACGGGAGGATGCTAGTTTGTGTCCTCCTGTTAACCTAAGGAGAACTATAAGGGAAAAGCCTTAACCCCATAGTTCTCCTTTAAGCACACATATTGGGAGTTAAGCGTTTGAATTGTCAGTTGTTAAGCACAACTTTACAAATAAAATAAACCAGTCTGGAGATGTTGACAAGATGGTAACATTGAATACATGCTGGGAAATATCCTAAATACAAAATTGCCTTTAAGCTGTGATTTATTTCAAAGCGGGTTAAAGAAAAAAAAAACATACACAATCATTTTGTATTCACTAAATTTAAATTGATATTAAGCCATGATAGGACAATATCTGAGGGCTTGGCTTCACTGGCAGTTTTAATTGCTTACCCCTGAGTGATTAAACCACCAACTGGAAATGTATTCATTAGCATTATCTTGATTTTTATGAATTGCCAAGTGTTTAAATCACTCAGTAGCAAGTAACTAAAGATGTCCACATAGGTTAGCCTTCAGGGGTCTAGTTATCAATGTTTTCACTCAAAATTCCCACAACTTTTATGCCAAGATTCACTCATTCTCACCACAGTAGTATTAAACTCTCAATCCTTGTTACAAAAATGATTAAACAAATATACATTGCCCAGCAAAGTATTTTCTTTTACTTTTTGCCCAAACACTTAGTCATCATGTTTCCACACAGCTGTCTCCAAGTCTTTAAGTGGGGCCTCCTGAACTTCCTGTTGAGTCAAAAAGCCAAAGCGCAGTTTTCAACAGCTGTCCATCTGTTAGCCTGGAGATGGGACAAGGGAGGCCTATTGCCGTTAGTAAATCAACCCCTGGCTCTATAATATATTTGTCATACTGAAATTTTTGACAAACAAACTATTCAACAGTCAGGTTAAAGCGTGTAAAGACACAGCATTTCAAGTGTTCTTATTTAACCTGTATAGGATAAACTCTATCACTTAAGAGATAAGCTCTTTTTGGAATGAGATAACCATGCCTTTCAAAAAAAATATGATGAGTAGAAGACCCTCTGCACTGCTATACTAACCCCAATATATAGCTATATATTTCTTTTCCATCCTTTCTTTGTCCACTATGGTATTAACAACTGTTTACTTGTCTTAATTCAGTAAATAGCCCAACGTTACCCTTCCTCTGTGTAAACCAATGTGCTTGTGTGTATTACTTTGTTGCTGTCGCTCGTTTCCTTCATTGTCTGTTCTCTCTTTCTCTCTCTCTTCCCTCTCTCTTTCTTTGCCCCTATGCTTCTCGCAGGCATCCAGCTGACACCACAGCCACTGTTGAGGATATGCTGCCATCCGTTACCACCGTCACAACTAATTCTGACACTATTACTGAAACCTTTGCAACTGCACAAAATAGTCCCACAAGTGAGACCACCACTCTCACCTCTAGCACAGCCCCACCACCCACATCTGCACCTGACTCAAACTCAGTTCAGTCCAGTCAGGCAACTCCTTCTAAAACAGAGGCATCTTCAGCCTCCTCACCTCCTGCTGCAGCTTCTCCAAAAGTCGCACCTTTAGTAGACCTTAGTGATACCCCATCTACTAACAACCCATCTACTGCTGTAGCCAGCCAAGGGGGAGTCTTGAATCCTACTGCTGCAACCACTGCAGTTGAGGCTCCCAAAGCAGTTACCAGGCCTTCAGCTCCCGTTCCACCAAGTACTACTAGCCCCCCAGCTACTCCTGAAAAAGGCAAGCAGGAACCATCAGGTACCAAAAGCCCAGAAAAAGAAACGGCACAGACCAGCACAGTGAAAAGTCCAACGGAGGCTACCAAGAATGAGGCAGCTTCTGTCAGCAACACGAACCCCTCCCAGGGTGAGGACTTTCAAATTGATGGGGGGACCTTCAAGACTCCAGAAATTGACCTTGCAAAGGATGTTTTTGCAGCTCTTGGAACTTCTTCTTCTGCCGCTGTGGCTAGTGGGAAAGCTCCTGAGCTGGCTTCTTCCACTGCAGACACCACTGTACCGCCTGCTTCATCAAAGGCCGAGTATGGCATCTCTTAATCCTGTGTGTTGGTTGCGTCTTGTGTTGTCACTTGTTAGTGTTGTGAAGTGTTTTAATTTGTAGTTGTCTTGTGCAAAGGTACCCATAGACAAAAAGTAGCTAGTCTGGCCGATAATTATTGGATTGGGACAAAATATATACCCATGGACTACCAGGATCTGAGCAGGCATCCCTAAACAGACTGATCTCAGGTATTGATTTTCCTGGGTGATCATGAAAAGTGATGTCTGCACAGAGCATACACATGTTTGGCTGGTCGGATTGACAATCACATCTTCCAGACACTATCTTATGTCCTTTGATACCTTAACACCATTTGTTTAACTAACATACTTTACTCTAGATAGATAGATTGCTTTTCTGACAAAGACCCATCAGTATTGTTAAGGTGCTTTGAAATATTTTTGACTTAATTGTTTAATGAATACTTTACCAAACATAAATGAAAAAATGTACCTTAGAGTGTATTTCCACTTTTACAGTTGTCACGATTAGGGCACTGGAGCACCAGGAAATGTAAACTCTGGGTTTTGTGGAGCAGTATATAGTGACTGAATTAGGAATGGGCAGGGATACAGGTCTCTGAAGATGCAGGGACAGTGTGACCGCACAAGAAATGCAGGTGTGAGTCGCAGGATCTAAGGAGCCTCCTGGTCTTCCCCAGAGCCCCTGATGGTGTAGATGTTGAGCTGCAGGGCAGCTCCCAGGTTGCGGCTCTCTGACACACCCATGCAGGCACAGTGCCAGCGGGCACTCAGGGACAGAACACGGGGTGCATACAGGATACAAGATACAGAAAACAGGCACTAGATGGAAGACACAGTAAACATGCGTGACACAGGGAGCAGGTAACAGGAGGGAACACACAACAGGTGTACCCACAGAGCAAAGAGAAACACAGGAACAGCAGAGGGAAACGCACAAGAGAAAGGAGGGAGGTGCACAATAGTTCAGAGCACACTGACCACAGGGAGCAGGAGCCGGAGGCAACCACAAGCAGATCAGGAAACAATGCTGTGGAGGGAACACGCAGCCACAGCAAAAAAAAGGGGTACACGGACAGAAAACAGGAAATGAGAAAATGCAGCAGGAAGGGAATACCAAAACCAACAAGAGCAAACAAAGACACAAAATGGAAGGTATACTCAAGCGGCAATACCACAGAAAACAGAGAGGTCCGGCTACTAGCATGGAAACACGTTGCTCGAACGCTAAAGCATAGGTGCACAAGCCTTTTAACACCTAGGTTCAGGGCGGACTGACAGGAAACCGAGCAGCTCGGACAGGAGGCAAAACCAGGCGCCGGATCAATGTACAAGGAACCGTATTTGTTATTTGTTCCCATTCACACAGCATAACAAAACATCATTTAAAAAAAATATCTCTTACTGTTTGTTGCAGCAGGCAAGATGTCCAAATACAGGTTTTTCTGAGCACCTTCACAGTGATCTGTCCTTATAGAAAGACTTAGGACTGAAACATAAGGATTAACGGAATTACCATACAATGCAGTAGCCACTGTTGTAATCATTTAACCCTTTGTTAGGACAGGCAGTGTTCAGATCTACTTTAAAAATTATAATGAACAACACCCTCACCTCTCAGCACCCCTTCTAACATTACAAAGAAAGAGAAGCAAGTATCAAGTTTAACACATATGAAGCCAGAAAACCCTAGCCCAAATAAAGCAATTTAAATTGCAAGAAGCATTTTTTTTTTAATCTTATGCTATGTGAATGGGAGTATGGAACACATGTAAATGTGTTATCCTAATTTGGCTGCAAAAGTGGAAATACACTTTGCCAACTGCAGTCAGCACTATAAAACTACCCTATTGAACCAAGCATGACTGATTACATTCAATTATACATTTTTGTGCCACTTAACTTTTCCACCATTTAAGCTTTGCAGTTGTGTTATAAAAGTCACATCATATACTTCAACCCTTCCGCTGCCAGGCCCTGTGCTTCACTTTTAACCTCAGCTGGTTAGACCATTTTTTCACCTTTATTGTAATTCTCAACTGCAGTTTTCAGAGTTTGTAAAACAAACCCCAAACCATACATTTTCTGAAAGCATAGAACTGGTAGAATGAAAAGATAGTGCTACTAATTTTGTAGGTCTTGCAAAAGATGTACAAATGTTTATCAAATCAATATTTTTGATAAAAATTCACTAAAATTATTATCAGTGCACACAAAAAAAACACAATTTATAAGGTTCCTTCTAAGTCTAAAATATAAAACTGTATTGGGTTTGCTATGTGCTGCCACACAGTTGAATTAATGCTTTTTTAGAAAGGAAAAAAAAGAACGGAAAAATAAAGCACCGCAACGTGTTCTAAGGACGCGCCACAAGATATGTGGTGTGACAGTTGTGCAAATGTTTATCAAATCAATATTTTTTTAATGAAAATATACTAAAATCATTATCACAGAGCATAACTTTAATATTTGTTTACATATATACTACCATCAGGGGGCTTTGGGGAACTATCACAGTTCTAAACAGAACCCCGATATTTCTCTTTTGAAATAGAAAAAGAGATTGAGAACACTCACTGAACAGGAAGGACTCAGTATGGAGGCTTTCTGTTTCCTTACAAACTGATGAGATGGTATACATTTAATATCTCCCAGTTATGAATTGATTGGAAGTGACCTATGCAGAGCACTTTTAGCCCATTCATAAACTGAGGAGATAGTAGGTGTTTACAATGTCCCCAGTCATGAATGCACAGGAAGAGTGCCTTCTGCAAATTCATAACTGGGGAGATAGTATACACTTACTGTACCCTCAGTTATAAAAAAAACACTGGATTGATCACTACTGATCACTCTGGTGTTTAAGTAAGCGCTCCACCCCCTCCCGCCTGTCACTGGAGAGTAACTGCCACTATCTCCTCCCCACAGCTCTCTCCTCCCTGCTGGACGCTGGCTGCATGCTCTGACTGTCACCCTTGAGTCTCTGCTGATACAGGCAGGGGAGACAAGTGGGGATCATAGGGGAAACAGGAGGACATGCAGGGGACAGATTTAAAGCACCCAGCGGGAAGGATAAAGCATCAGATCAGCATGGGTGGCAGGGAGGGGGTTTGTTTAGAATGGAGAGTTGTCATCAGCAGTTTGTCAGCCACTGATGACAGCGATTTATTTACACAAATGAGTCAGAGGGACCCTCCTATTATAAGTTTTTGGACTCTGAAGCATGCTGAGTTGGCCTGCTGGGAAACCTTTTATTCTGCCATGTGCCTTAGGTCAGTGGCGGGGAAAGGGTTAAAGCAATAAAAACCACACAATAAAATATCTACCCAAGAAAAGGGAGATGAAACATCTGCGCATCTATAAACATTGTGTTGGGTTACAGCATATACAGTATGACTACCTTGGTGAAGTGATGCTTGTGCTGCCTTCCAACTCTTTTCCTCTCCTCAAGACAAGTTTTGGCAACATTACACAAGTGGGACATTTCTGTGTCTCATAATGACAATTGAATTTGGTGGGATTAAGCTGTTTTTGGCCACAGTATGACTTACATGGTGCACAGATTATATAAACAATATCAATATTTTCTAATATTAGTATTGATATAGTGTACAAGAATTGACTTGTGTTGTCCACAACAATTATACCATTCCTTAAATGCTACTGTGACAGGCTACCTAATCCTAGAAATAACCCGATACATTGGTTTTCCTTTCAGGCCATTGATCAAGAGGTTCAGGGTCACATACAAAACCATTCTCACAAATGACAAACATCTGTAATCCTATCAGTGTTATTGCAAATCTGGTTGTAAAGAGCCTCTAGGTTGTCGTTTTTCAAATTTTCTGTACATAAAACATTTGTTTTAGGAAAAATATACTGACATACATGCAAAAAATATGAATTGTGATTTATTGCTGATAATGTGTATGTATGTATGTATGTATGTATGTATGTATGTATGTGTAGCTGAAAAAGCTTTGGGTTTCTTTATGTGTTTGGTATATGCTGGGTATCATCTGCTGTTCTGTGTCTTTCTAACACAGTCTCATTATGGTCTATTTCCAGGAAGGCCCCTGTAGAAGAAAACTCTAAGCCAGAGGAATCAGACAGCAAGAGCACCCCAGCAGAAGTGAAAACAGTCCCCAATGAGGCCACTCAAACAAATGCGAGCGAGAGTAAAGCATGATTTGTCCTCGGGGTAGGGAAGTGTTACGTGGGAAGGGAAAAGTGAATACTAAAAAATAATGTCTGAAGAGCCTCATGCTAGCCATTTACAGAGTGAGGTACATACACACAAACACTTCATCATTCCTCTCCAATCTTGGCCTTTGTTGTTATTATTATTTTTGTTTTGTTGAGTTTTTCTTTCAATAAAATAAAACCTGTATGTTTTTGTGAGATTGTAGAAAGGATTCACCTCTTGTGTATATGCTTTTATGAACAAAGTCAAGTGGTAAAGTGTTGATATGAGATATTCCATGCAATGCCCCCCAAAAATAGCATTCCCCTTTTATTTATCATGTGGCAAAGGAGAGGCGTAGACAGTTCAGAACATTGCTCATAGCTGTTTGTTGACTTGAGACGTCACACGTGACTTTCAGCAACCAGGCAGAATCTAAGTGTTCTCAAAATAAATACACTAAGCAAAATGTCAATGTATGTTTTGCCCAGAACATTTGAGCTGTAGAAAATTGTTTTACTTGCATGGCTGCCAATGAGAGGATTTAGTTGATACATCTGACCACTGTATAGGCAAATAAAAATTGGAAAAGAGAGAAAGAAATCTGTGTGTCTTATAAGTCAGCCATCTGTTTTATTAGGAACAATACAGGATATGAATGAAAATATGTTTGATGGCATTATTGTCTGTTGTTTATCCCTTTTGTTGCTCTTTCCGTAATGGCTATCCTAAATGCACTCGATCTTGTACCAAGTCAACACAACATGGGTTTTGTCCAACAGAAAGCATCTTTATTTTATACTGGAATTACAACTTTAATGCAGGAGATTTCTGCAGAACCATCCATTGGCTAAGATCATCTCATGAGCAAACTGGAGTGAGAGACAATTAAAAAAGACTTTTGGTATGTTTAGATTAAACAGGTGTTGTTGATGTGACTGGTGCACTGTTAGGCAAGTGGATACATTGCTTTTTTCTCAGTCCAGCCAAAGTGATGAACAATTGAATATACAATGAATGTTGTCCTGAGTTTATGAAGAGCACTCTGAGATCCATTTAGCTAGATAAAACACTGGTTTTGGAAAAACATAGCCTGACAATATCACTTTGAATTACACACTTTACTATTAAAAACAGGAAAAAAAAACCCTAAATGTGTGGTTCTTGATACAGCTATCATTTAACCCAACCAGTGTTTAGAATTTCTTTCAACTTTTTGTCTTACTACAATATGGCAGTGCTTTCATCACATACATCTACTGTATGAATGTCTTATAATAAACCTCTGGCCTTTATATGGGCTGTCAGATGTCACAGCACACTCAGAACATCTCAGTAACCCCACAATACGTAGACAGCCTCTTGCATAAAAGTATCTAAAGGAAGAACAGTTTTCTATTTTCCATAGCAACCAGTAAGATATTGCTACGTATTTTATTTTTTCAAAAGAAGAATATTATTGGCTCTGATGGGTAACAAAAACTGTTCTTCATTAACAAACTTTCATGTATGAGGCCCATAGTTTTTGTAGATACACTTAAGCTTGTGGTGTTGGTAAATATGACACAACTTCTTTATGTAGATAATAATGGCAGATGTGCAATTTCCATAGACATTCTAGAACACTTGATGATCCCCTCAATCATAGTATATCTAAATTAAAGTATCTACTGTCAAAATAGAATACCCTGTGTAGAACAGTTTGCACCTCTGTAATATTTCCATGACAACCCTCACATAAAGTTGATATGGTATGAAGTCAGTCATTTTTTGTTGTTTTTGGCGTATGGCCTGTGAATGAACATGACACTGGTGACCTTAGTGTCATGTGATGTCACTGAGTTATTTGATACTCAAGCCTTAGCATTGTTTCTCACAAACTGACAACCTGCATTTTTGTAAATATTAGTTCATCTTCAAAATGGCTGCTTCAATCACATGAACCTATAGGCCCACTTTATTATTGTAAGGTATCAAATGGAGATTAGCCTTTAATTTTTTTTTTTGCAGGCATTGGCTTGTGGGAAACTTAGATGTATTGTATGAATGTGGGCCACACTGGTCACACTTAAATGTCCATCTTCACACTGCACTGCTTCCAGCTGGGGATCTATAAATGTTTGTTTCCTTATGTAGGATGCCAAATGTATATTTTTTTGCTCTTACTTTTCGTATGTATTTTTTTTTCCAGGTTTACAATCATTTTCTTTCTCATTCATGTGCTTCTTTCACAACAATTTGTTTAACTGAATTTCTCAATAGACACAGATATCTAAATATGATATAGTAGATTACTAGCATGCATTCTTTGCAATGAGATGTTTTGAGGGGAAAATGAATGTTTACAATTGACTCGTCCTATTTCATTTCACAATTGGGTTGTTATTTTGACTTCATAGTTAAATGCCAAGCATCATTAACTCACCCTTCATTTTATAGGGATTTATTGTTGTAGCATCTCTTAAGCATACTTTAGATCACCATGGATGCAAATTAATGTTTTACATACCCCCTCAATAAATAAAGATAGTTGCGTGGTTTATTAAAAAATTATGTGAGCTATAAGTGGTGTACTTAAGCTAGAACATGTACCACAGAGGTAGAGACCTGAAATATTCTCACCATGAAGGGTATTCTTACACTAGAATACCAGAAATAACAGAACTATAGCTTGATTACACAGGTAAATGTTACTGTTCATAGCAGTCAGTCAAATGCATGCTTTCATTTCCTGCCATGAAATTATGGGTCTTCTAATCATATGTCTAAAATATGAGTTGTACTTACTGCCTAGAGTGACCAACCAGATCCTTCCTATTCTTATCTCTAGTACAGTATTTGAGAATGCAAAAGAGAATTCGAGGCCAGCAAGTTTTTTTCCTCAGTCACTTTTAGTCAAGAGACCTGAATTAAAAATCTTGTCTAATGCTTTCTATGTGCATCACTTTCGCAAAACAATTGAAGGCCATTAAAACATGCCCACACAAGGTTCAGCTATTTTTATAGATAAAATACTGAAACAGTTTGGATTATTCAACACTGAAATTGCATTATAATAAAGTAGTCCTCTCCCTAATCAGGTATTCTCATCTGACTATCTTGTTCCCAGATGCCCCTTGCCCTGCAGTGGAGGAATGTGTTGTAACTTGCATTAGGCATCTATTTTTCCAAATGTGCAAAGCAGGTACAGCCACACAAGTAAGCTATTAGTATGAACAAGTAATACTTAGTTGGATGAGAGCATTAGAAGGGCTGTTTTTCATAGCACAAACAATTAGAAACCTGCTTTTGATTGTAATGGGAAACATCAAATTTTCCACCCAGTTATATGCAGAAAACTGATCATAAAAGCCCACAAGACTATTGTGCCTAAACAAACAAAAACAATGATAGATCAGGCTATAAAATAGAAATTAAAAAATCTTGCTAGTAATAGGTGCCTGCAGTAACATATACTGGACATTATATTGTAGAAAGTTTGAATCCTAGCTTACAGACCTGTTGTCAAGGCATTAGTGAGATCAGTAGCGGTTCCTTTTACTGTAAAATAAGCCTTTGATATGTTTATAGGGTATGTCAGCTAAAACTCTTCAAGATAAAAAAAAAAAATAGCAATGCTTCAAGTTGGAGCAGCCCTATAGATACATTTGTACCATAAACCCTTTCATTTTAGAGAAGTCTCGGCAATTATAAATAGTAGCTATGCTTGAGTTGAGCGAAGACAATTATTGTTAGATCTATAAGGTTTACCTGTGTATTTACGCCTTTGCATATTAAAAGGTGTGAGTGAATTGGGTGAGAATATTTAAAATGTTCTACTTAGAATAAGTAAAATTCACCAGTTTTTCTAAGCAACGCAAACACTGTATGTATTAGCCATAATAACAAAATGCCAAAATCCATTGATTTGGTGCCAGCTGTAGTCCTGTAATCTTCAAACATTATTTTTATTTTCTTATTTGCATTCGTTTTTCCAGGATGCAGACGCCATCTCAAAAACACCTCTTTTTCACAGCATTTGGGCAAACTATTTGGGTATATTGGGCTGATACTATGTGGATGTGTTTTGAATCATTCTTTCTTTGGTAAAGGAATACATTGGGAAATAAGAAAATCAACAATTTGTATTAAACTGATTGAAAAAAGTGGAATTTTCCTTTCCCCAATTGCTGTCAGCTTGTGCACAGTAAATGCGTGAATATTAGTGTGAAATGTGTTTTTTGTCATAGTATCATAATTAAACAAGCTTCAAAAAAGTATAGTTATGGTGGTGGAATAATATTTGGTGGGAATTACAATTAAAAAGAGTTTTACAGACTCAGACCCTGGCAAACCCTTCACTCTGTTCCTAAGATTATGTGAAAATGGCAAAGTTCTGCTATAGTGTGTTTCCATGCCTTCAACAGTGAATGAACATTTGGTTAAATGGGTTTTTATTTTGTTTTGTATTTTTTGCATCTGGACAGTGAGCATTGCTAATTAAACTCAAACTGTGAAAACATGGTCTTGTCACATTGCTAAGTGTTAATTTCTTCTTTTTTTTGCATTTCTCTAATGTTAATAGGGATATAAAATGAAGGGATTTGCCTAATATTTAATGCCGAGTGAGGAATATCATTTAAATCTTTTTTGTTTTACTTCGTACCATTTAAAAAAATCAATTTGTTTTTTCTTTTTGGATGGTCAGTTACATTTTGTTCTATTTTAAAATAAATCCATAGCATCATATATGTCAAATTGAAAAACAGGGACACACTGGCCCCGATTCATCAAGCTGCAATATTACTTAAAGTGGAACTATGTGCAAAATAATGAATGACATAAAGCAGTCTCACAATAGCATTCATACAGCAGTCTTTGCTTTTCTGAGCTCCCGGGACAAAGTTCTATTACCTGTAGATCCTGCCAAAAGTCATTTTTTACAACTTAATTTAACAGACCAAATTGACAGGCAAAAGAGGCAATTTATTGGGTTGAGACAAACCATTTAACACTGATAGGGGTGCTTACAATTATCAGCTTTCATTATTTAAGGTAAAACCAAAATAATGAAACTCTTTCTGTAACTGATTAAAAAGTGTTAGCCTGAGTCAGGCTTTAATTTGTTCACCCGTTTAAAGCCCTTCTAAATATATTAGTCCATCTAAAGGTGCCAATACACTGCTCGATTCTCGTACGATCTCACGTCTTTTGTCTAAGGAGCACGCTAGAAAACCAGCTGGTTTGAACGGTGCTCGGGAGACAAATCCCGAACTGCCTGTTCAGCATTGTGGTCATCGGAAGCCCGCCCCTCAGGAGGGCGGGCTTGCGATGATCGAGAGTACGATCTGCCTGTCGAAGATGGGCAGATCGTACGTTTTTTTAATCACTTTACACCATCACAAGACTAAGGTCTTGCGATGGTTGTACAGTGTATGGCCACCTTTACACTACCCTCTCAACAGGTTGACAATGCTGCTGACCAAGGGTGGCTACCTTGCATTCTCCATAAACAGAGTGGAGGAGTTAGTGTTGACACCCTATGGCATGAAGCATGTTACTGGCCGGATCACCAGGAAAAAAAAGCCTAAAAAAACTAATGCAGTCACCGTACCTAAGGATTGGCAAGACTCAATATATTACGTTTGTTTTTTGTTACTACACTTTAGGAAGTGCTACACAGCACTGAATGAATAGACACCGGATCGCTTGTACATTAACAGCCATCTCTAGCTGCTAAAAACGACACCTGCAGCAGCCATGTTCTTGTTTTAACTACTTCTGCGGGCCGCCGTCTATAGACGTATTGCGGCCCGGAAGGGGTTAAAGGCAGGGGTTTGCTTATTCTTGTCAGAGCCTCTAGCAAGTAGCGGTGAGCAGCATAGTAGTGATATCACCAAACCCCATTTTAAATCTCCTATAACTAGCAGCAGAGTCAGCAGTGCTTTAGATATCCCACTGCAGATATACAGATATGAGACTGAGTGCATAAGCACCCTTACATACCAGGACTGCCATTTTCAGGATGGATTCTAAACATAAGGTACTGCTTAGGTTCAAATCATGGTACTGAATTTTGGCGCGATTAACGTGACTACCTGTAACAGCAAATATTCACTTTTAGAGTTGAGTTTCACTTTAGGGGTTCTGCTTCATGC